ACCTGCCAGAGCTCCAGAGAAGTCATCTCTCCACAACTTGGTTATTATTAGAACCACAAATGAGAAAATCTTTTGACTGGCAAGAGACTAAGACATCAATTTCCATCCTGCATCTATTTTAAAGAGTAGGAGTGAAGTTAGATTATCAGTGACATTTTCTCAGTGGAAAGATTGCCAGGATCATATTTGTATTCATTTCCGTAAATGCAATATACAAGGCACTAATAGAACAAAATCCACTAATTAAATTTCATTCAATAATGCATTTTCACCTTACCTTCACGGTGTCCTTGTACATTCTTGCCAGCAGAGTGCTAAAAATGTCTTATTTAGCTTTAAATGGTGCTTGTCATTAAATTTGAAATATTAGCAAGCATCAATGATCCCAAAGTGACAGCCCAGTAAATAATTTGAAAGGGTTCTATACTGAAGACCAATTTTTGCTTAATTTAATTTATTTATTAAAAATTAAACATATGGATTCAGAAGGACCCTAGTTTGGCTGCCATGGCAGCGCCATCCTTAGATATGCGCCTAAAATAGGAGAAACGAAAACAGCAGCAAACCTGAGGCTCACTCCTCCGGAGGAAGGAAAGTCTCTTTTCATAATCCCTTCATATCTTGGGATGGACAAACTGTTTATTTTCCACATCAAGATTGATTTTTGATTCCCATTTCCATTGCGGTTTACCTTGAGAGCTAAGGCCTTTGTGTTAAGTGAATTATTTGGCAAAGGTTTATAAATTTCATATTTGTATTTGGAAAAGTATTACAAAACCTCTATTGCCAATAGTATGATATAGAGCCTTGGGGTTTCTAGCACGTGTGAGCGGGTATTGGGGAGGACCTGGTATATGTTAGTTAGGGAAAAACACAGTCTGAACCAACACTGACATTTGATCTGATATAATTCTCAAAGGGTAGGTGGGCCCAAATATCTACAGTTATCCCGCTGTATAGACAAGGAAGCTATGGCTTTTGGGGTTACCATCCTCTCAAGTCCACCACACAAGGTAGAGACAGAGCTCCGATTGAACTCAATGAACCTGCAGAAGCTTGCCTGGGAGACTCTGCCACACCTGATATTCTGTGAGTTAAGGCTTCTGCAGCTTTGCCCCTTTCTCGAGCCATTAAAACATCATGGCTCAGAGTAGAAAAGAGAACATTCATCCATTGGTATTGAAATCGTGTCTCTGCCTCCATTTGCATTTACAGATTTCTTTAGTTCATGTATTCATTCATTTACTCCAAACAAATATTTATCCAGTACTTAGTTTATGTCAAGCAGTTTTTTTCAGCATCAAGGGTACCATACGAAACAAAGATAAAATCTCCCTGTCCTCATGGGGTTCATGTTCTGTTGAGAGGGGAGGCAGGTGATAAGCAAAATAAATGAGTGTATCATGTGGCTGATTAGGAAGTGTTAATTGAGGGGAATAATAAATGGGAAAGGGGAATAGGGAATGTGGAGGAAGCTGGCGTTTGTAATGAAAGGGATATGAGATGAATTTAGAGTTGGATCATTTTCCCTCTTGGATCCATTGGAGGATGGCTGTCTGCCCCTCCCTAACCCCAGCATACTCACACCCTCAGCACATCAAACTTTGCTTTTCCCAGACAGAGGATATTGGGATTGCTGTTTGTTCTCTAATTGGCTAGAGCAACGTTGACATCCAGTGGTGAATTAGATTAATCACAGGTATTCACACTTGTTTTTTAATCTCCATGCATGGGAGGGAGCACAAGGTATGAGAACTGGTCTGTTATTATGGTCCAGGGGGTTCTTCTGCAGACCCCCACCCTCATCAGTTCAGTGAGCTGTTAGGACACTGGGTTGACTGGGTTTTCAACAACACGTAAGTTAACCAACTTGAGTGTATGTGTGTATCTGTCCTCTAGATGTGTGTGTTTGTAGGTATCTATGCAAATCTGTGTGTACATGCATTGTTTCTGTTCCCAACATGTGACTCTGATGCTGTGCTGCTCTTCCTTGCATGGAACTCTTTCTGTCCTCAGGGACCTGATACCAGGAACGTGGAGAAAACGACCCTGCATCCTGATTTTGTCCTTTTCCAGCTGCCCGATGCTCTATTGTCTGTTTCCAATGAAGCAGAAGAAGCGTGGCTGCCTTGGGCTTGCTTCCTCTTGGGTGGGTCGGCTAGCAGTCGCCTGGATGCCACCAGGAGCACTGTCCTCCACGAGGACAGCCGTCAGGATGCTGGCCTGTCACTGTCATCAAACACCGTGGGGAGCCAGCACCCTGTCCCAACTCCACACTAAGAAAGGGCAGAACACCCCACCCAGAGCCCCTGCCTTCCGAGAGACTGCTGCAGTTGTACTGTTTAGTCTCTAAGTCATGTCTAGCCCCTTGCGACCCCATGGACTGTAGCCTGCTAGGCTTCTCTGTTCATGTGATTCTCCAGGTAAAAATACTGGAGTGGGTTGCCATTTCCTTCTCCAGGGGATCTTCCCAACCCAGGAATCGAACCCAAGTCTCCTGCACTGGGGAGCAGATTCTTTACCACTGAGCCACCTAGAGTCTAAACATACAGCAGACCGGCAGAAAAGACTGAAATCCCACCTCCCACCCATGTGTATCTTTAAATCCAGTACCTATCAAGATGACACACCACTGCTTATTAATTCATACCTTTTATGTGTTCAGATAATTTTTATTCAATATTGACAACCCGCAGACAATTTTCCCAGTGGATCTGAGGCTGAGGCCACCCCACAAAGCTGCCTTTGGAAACCCTTTCTACCCCTGGGTATGGGAAAACAGAAGGAAAAAGAGGCCCTCTAACGAGTTGAACACACTCCACAATTAAATATTGATTGGAAATTCTCCCGGAGTATTTCCCTCCATCTCTCTACCTCCGCAGGGAGATGTCGAGATGCGATTCCTAAGCTGTCCCCATCCAGTGATTACGTTCATTAGGACACCAGCCTTGTGGTTAAAGCACTTTCCTTGCTGCTGCACGTTTAATTAGACAACTCTTCCCCAGAAATTATTTATAGCCAGGCTCCAGAGCTATTGTTAGTCCGAATGTAAATAAGATTCAGGGCGGGAGTCCCAGTGCTCCCCGGCTGCTGGCGCACGCCTGCGCAAAGCAGCCCTGCGAGCACTCGGGGACTGCGGCCAGGGCTGTCCAGCCAGAGCTCAGGCTATTAAAAAGCCCAGGCGCGATTTTGTAATTAAACTTTTGATACAGAACCGCACAAAAGACTAGAAGCCTACCAGGTCAGCGCTAGTGCACAGAGGAGAAAGGAGAGGAGGGGGAGGGCTGCGGGAGGAGACATGGGGGTGGGGGCCAGAGCCCCAGCCAGGAGAGGGCTCCTGGGGATCCCCACTTAGATAACCTGCTTGGACAGGAATCTGCATGTTCCAGTGTGCACTTGCAATCCCTCATGGCCCTAAGGGACCAGCAGGGCTGACCTCAACCACTGTTCGTTCTGGAATGCTAGCTGCTGGATGCAACGGAGTCTCTGCCCTCAGGATGCTCCCCTTCTTGTAAATGATACAGACAGGTGATCAACCCCAGTGAGCACAATAAGAAAGAGCTTTAATACCATCAACAATCACTATCCAGTGAGGACAAGATGGACACAGGCATTTCTCATGCCTTATTTCATGTACTATGCACAATAAACCCAACAGTTGAATGCTGTTACTGAAACACCCATTTTCAGCTGAGAAAAATAAGACAGAAAAAGACAATACTCTGTAGATCACAGGTTGGGAAGTAGCTACCTATGAAACCCCAGGCCCTAAGTAATCACTGCTTTACTCTCTACTTGTGGGTATGATGCCTGAAGGGAATGGTGGTCAGAGGGAGCTTTGCCAAGGGGACCAAGGATGAATTGGGTATTGAGGCATGAAGAGGAGTTTGCTCACTGGACAGGAGGGGAGGGAGGAAATAGCAACCCAGTGAGCTGTGACTGTTTTATTTATAGAGAGGATTTGAATCTAGGGGCTTAGGCTCTTATGGAAGAACAGCAGTAGCAGGAGTAACAACACAAGACAATGTGGAAAGTCGGAATTGAAATTCAAAATGCTAAAAATGCTAAAAGCTCTTGGGTGTTTCTCTTGGCTGTGTTCCTATGATTCAAAGAGCGTAGGGGAGTAGAGGGGATAAGACAATAGGATAGGATTAGGTTTGTCTCTTCAACCAACACCCCAAATCTCTCTTCACTGTTGCACCTTCATTCTGGATCACCCCATCTGGACCTTAGCATATTACTAGCAAACAGTCCTCCTTGTAGATTAGGCAATTATGCATGTTGTGCTTCCTGGAAAGAGAGGGGACCAGAGAAATGCCTTCCCAAGACCTCCTATTCAACTGGTTCGGCCCTAGCACACGGGATGTGAAGACAAACTCGCCAGTGAGGAGGGAGACCAAGGTGAAAACTTGGCTCTGTGTATTTTTTTCCCCTTTCACCAAAAAGCAGGCAGGCTGGCCAGGAATGTCTCTCTCCACTGTTCTTCCTATCCACCCACATAGAGGGCATCCTGGAGAACCGTCCTTCTGTTACTACTGCTGAGGCCAGTCAACCCTTCACATCAGCAGTAGGGAAGCTGGGATGTCTATTATTTTAAGCATATAATTGATTCTAACTCATCACTTATCTCTCAGTGACAGATTTTTATACAGTTTATTATCACTGCATCAGTCCAGGGCATGGAGGGCCAGCCCCTATTGTTCCTTGGCTCCTGGCGTGGCCTCAGCTACAGTAGCAGCCCTTATCTGCCTGATTAAGTTAGGGGATCCATTATCACGGGGTCCCCAGGTAACTGTTAGCATCACATGTCTTCCGATGGCAGAATTAGAGGAGCCTTTCACCCCTTGCCTCCTTGACCTGCTTGTCACAGTTAGTCTCCTTGTTTGCTGATTGATTTGGGACCCTGAGTCCCCAGGCTCTGGGAGGTAGCTGTCACTCCTGCCCTACCCCTGCACATGCATTGGTACCTAAGTGCTCCCCAGGAAGGCGGCAGACACGCGATGAGGCAGGGAGTCCCCCGATACCACCACTTCCTGGCCTTTCTGTGGTTCTGCTATCAGCCCAAGCCAGAAAACATCCCATCAGATGTTCCCTTCCCGTGTAAACTTTTCGGTTCTGTCCTGGTGAAATCAGTGCCTTTCCCTCTAAGAACGCTGGTGAGTGTCTCCCCTTCTCGGAAGCTGCCCTTCCCTCCTTTTTCCTCTGCTCTGCACAGCCCGCACTGGCCTGGGGACCTGGTGTGAAGCTCATGCACAAGGCTTCCATGGGGTGCCGATCCTCAGACAGCAGGGAGCCCGGCGGGACGCCAGGAGGAGGGATGGGGAGACCCTCGCCGCCAGCCCACCCCGGGGTCTCAGGCCCATAGGAGCCACATCAGGCTTACTCTTATCTTGTTTGCACCGAAGGGCCTGTGTGCTTCCTACAAATTCCAGTGCATCCCTCACAAAGTTACCTGCTTCTCTCTCTCTTTTTTGGCCATGACTTGCAGCACATGGGATCTTAGTTCTCCTGCCAGGATCTTAAGCCATGTTCCCTGCATTGATTGGAAGCAGGGAGTCTTAACCACTGAACCTCCAACGGAAGTCCCTGCTTCTCTCACTCTTGAAACCTCGACCTGTATGCACCACATCCCAGAGTTGACACGTTTTCCAGGCTGATCCTGCACACAGATTTTATGTCTTCAGATTCATAAAACAAAGCAGTTCTTCATGGTCCCTTGAAACCTTTAGCACACACCAGAAATTTAGGTTCCATTCAAATTGGGACCCAGACCTTACCTGACTCCTAGTAAGTCCCTTCCTCCTGCTTCACCCTCAGAGTCCACAGACTTGGGCTTGCACACACGTCCATGCTCTTACCTGAATGTCCTGTGACCACGTGTTCATCCTTCAAGATGCAGGTAAAATATCCACTGTCCTTGGTGATCCTCCCCAAGTCCCCAAGAAGGATGCCACACTTCCGCCCTGTCACAGCCCTTCCCTTTTAGAACTCTCTCATCCTCACAACATCTTTCCCAGCAGGGTGTGGCTTGGGAAGTGCTTGCCCATCTGCGTGATCAGATGGCGCTAGCTCCATGGTCTGTTGGACACAGGCTGGCCATTTCTCCCTGTGATCACTGGAGGGAGCCTGTGTTTACCTGCAGGCATGGCTACCTGTTAACAGCTCCCCCAGTGAGCTCTCCTGTCTGCTCCAAGGGCTCTTCATTCACCTAGTGTCTACACAGCCTCTCAGCCTTTACCAATTTCCATGGGTATTAATAACCACCAGAGTAAAGCAACAGTCCTCCAAATGCTGCACATTATGGTGAAGAAGGATAAAGCATTTTCAGGAGAGAGCCGGAACCACCACTGTGCATGCAAGTTTCAAACACACACAAAAAGAGACCTCTGAAGGCATCTAACGATCCGCTTCCTCCTGCAGAAGAGGAAACCGCAGGTTAGCCCATAGGAAATTTGTCCCAAGCCAACCCGCTGCCAGCGGCAGTAAAGGAAGTCCATTTTCTCTAAAACATGGCGGGACAGTTTCTTGTTCCCAGCAGCCCTGCCCTACCCACTCACAGCCCTTCTCAGCTTATCATGGGAATGATCTTTGCTTCTGGAGAAGGAATTCATAGCTCTAAACCTACAATCATTTCTCTTCCAGATCACAGCCTCCCCAGGTGGGAGACCCCCTCTCACCGCACCCTGCCCCCAGCAAAGACTGCTGTTTGCCACAGCAAGTGGAAAGCATACACAGGCTCAGTTTAGGGACAGTTAATTTCCAATTCTTTCCAGATGGGTTGGAATAATATCCCCAGGTGGTAAATACATTATTAAGAAGGCAGTTTGGTGTGAAATTGGCTATTAAAATATAGATAAAGTTTAATATATTGAGCTCCTTGTCAGAAAAATCACTTTGCAGGGAGCTTATTATTTGTTTGATATTAAAAGAGTCACAGCTCTGCTCCAAGTGACAAATGGAGGGAGGGGGGAAATGCCACCGGTAATGAACAAAAGCTTTTTAACATTTAAATTTAGGTTTTTCTTGTAGCTCTGCACGCTGCCACGAGCCTGCCCGCGCGGTGCAGCCAGAGGCGGGCGTCAGAAATGTCAGGAACCGGAGCCGAGGAGGCTGCCAGTCTGGCTTTAAACAGCTTGAGTCTCCCCAAAAGAAAGAGCTCAGATAGCGAAGTGGAGCTGGAGGGTGGTTCCCTTGGCAACACAGTGGAAAGGAGATGGGGGTCCGTCTCAGGGCAGGAAGTCTAAGTCCCTCCCTCCTCCTTTCAAAGTATCCGCCTGACCCCCTGGAGCCGAGCACATCACACGAAGCCCTTTTGAGAATCCCGCCTGTGCTCAGCCCCAGCCCGGGGCGCCATCTTCCCCGTCTGGGTAGTCACGAAGCCAGATGAATGAAAACTGAAGTTGGCCACGCACACGGAAAGATGCTCTTTGACACCAATTATTTGTTGTTCAGTCGCTAAGTCGTGTCTGACTCTTTGCGACCCCATGAACTATTGCTAATTATTAGATAAATGCAAATCAAACCACAATGAGGTATCGCCTCACACTGGTCAGAATGGCCATCATCAAAAAGTCTACAAATAATAAATGCTGAAGAGGGTGTGGAGAAAAAAGGAATCCTCCTACACTTGGTGAAGTTGGTGAAGTCATCATGGAGAACACTACAGAGGTTCCTTTAAAAACTAAAAATAGAGTTACCATATGATCCAGTAATCCCATTCATGGGAATACATTAGGGAAGAACTCTAATTCAAAAAGATATGTGCACACCAGAGTTCATAGTAGTAATATTCGTGTTAGCCAAGACATGGAAGAAACCTAAATGTCCATCAACAGATGAATGGATAAAGATGATGTGGTACGTATATACAATGGAATACTCCTTGGCCATAAAGGAGAATGAAATAATGCCATTTGCAGTAATATGGATGAACCTAGAGATTATCATACTAAGTCAAGTTAGACAAAGACAAATACCATATATCACTCATATGTAAAATCTAAAAAAGTGATACAAATGAGCTTTTTAAAAAAAAGAGATATAGACTGACAATCATAGAAAACAAACTTGTGGTAATCAAAGTGGATAAAGTGGAATTTTGGGTTAACAGATACACACTGCTACATACAGATAAACAGCAAAGATTTACTATATAGCACAGGGAACTGTATTCAGTATCTGATCATAATTATAATGGAAAGAAGCTGAAAAAGAATAGATATGGATATATAACTGAATCATGGCTGTTATACATTGCTGTATTGCTGAAACATTGTAAATCGATTATACTTCAATAAAGATAAAAATTAAAAAGAGAAAGAGAAAAACAATTGTATATTAACATATATATATATAATGTATATATGGAATCTAGAAAAACAGTACTGATATTTGCAGGGAAGGAATGGAGACACAGACAAAGAGAACGGATCTGTGGACACAGTGGGGGAGGGAGGGGGTGGGATGAGTTGAGAGAGGAGCATTGACATATACACAGTACCGTGTCTAAACTAGATAGCTAGTGGGAAGCTGCTGTATACAGCGCGGGGAGTTCAGCTCAGTGCTCTGTGATGACCTAGAGGAGGCAAGCGAGATGGGAGGGGGAAGGGAGGCTCAAGAGGGAGGGGGCATATGCATCTATCTAATGGCTGATTCATGTTCTTGTACAGCAGAAACCAATACAATATTGTAAAACAATTTTCCTTCAATTAAAAAAAAATAAAATCACTAATAACACAAAAAAGAAAATGGAAGTTGGCCAAAGGGAAAGGTTTGTTAGAATCTCCAAATACAAACCTGGAGCCCGTGTTTGCTATAAAACACCCCTGACCAAAGTAAGTACTTGATAGGTAGCAACCCATGTTGAACCAGGTCAGCTCGCAAGGCACCTGAGGGGGTAGTCCATGATGGACAATTGCAACTAGCTTTTCCACTCTTCATACTAGCAAAATCCTCTAGGAAATAGGGAAAATTCCAGAATAGAGGAGCAGAAGTCATGAAGATATATAAAAACCACAATCTCATTTCATTCAAAGGAAAGGCAATGGCATACAATTTAATAAAAAAATTTTTGAAGGAAAAGAAGATTGGATCATTAGACAGGGATCCTTAAGAGGAAAAGAAAAAAATGAATGACTACAGTCAACAGAGTAGAATCTTTATTTTAATAATTAGCACACTCATGCCTGGCTTTATACACATGGACACACACTTGTGTGAGCACATGCACACACACTAATGCTCCTGAGAGGAAAAGTTTCCTATTTTTCCTTAGACCTTTATAACAAGAAAAATAGACCCTGTTCTTTTAGGCTGAGTGGACAGAAGGGGGCTTCAGCAGAAGGTATAGGTGAGGGCAGCGGTTTTCCCCTGGACTCCACTGTTGTGTGGATAAAACGTCAGTCTCCCCCAGCCCCACGGCACCGGTTGTAAGGGAGCACTAAGGGAGCACTTCACGGCAGACGCTCCCTGCTAGCCCACACCCAGGCATCACATCACATTCTCGGAGGGTGGAAGGGCGCCCGTGACACAGACTTGGTGTCTGTGTCAGTGAAGAGCGAGCGCTTGGGACCATCTTGAGCACAAGTCTCCAGGTGTGTTTCCTGGTGTGCTTGAAACAAGCATCCCCCAAAGTGGACACCAACTGGGGGTACTGTGATCAGAGCCTGGGTCTACAGGCGGCCTCAGCCTCAGAGCACTGATCTATGGACCAGGTGTTGGCCGACCTCCATGGGGAGATCACAAGAGGGATGTGCTTAAGGGGACCCTCACGTCTGCCACGGGTCCTCCTAGCACTCTCACTTCAACGTGGCGTGATCATTGCCAGAAGAATCTTTTCAGTTATGTCGCAAATTTCTTCTTTTAAGTGACAAGCAGCTGGGATTACAACTTTACTTTTGACAGAAGGAAAGAGAGAAAACTTGAAACAAATGGTTTGAAAAGGATGAAATAAATGGGTCGGATGCTAAGGCTGGGGTTGAACCCTTGAGACTTTCAAACAAGCAAACAAATGTGTATGTTAAACTAGCACTCACAAGGCCCAGGATTAGGGTGTGAATATCTTGGGGTGGGGGGACATTTTCAACCTACCACTGTCTTCTCTTGTTTTGCAGGAGCAAACCTGGAAAACACTGAACACTCTTGCTACTTAGAGAGA